CAACCGATCACCGATGCGCAACATTTCCGACTCGTAGCAGTAGCGACCATGCGGAGCTAATACGCGTGGGACCCTTTAGGATACAGTCTGACGGACCACCGCGCAAGAACTCCGACCTAGCTTACACAATACGAGAGGATCTCGAGCGTGTCAAAGCCTTGGAATCTGGCTCTAAAAGACCATCAGGTACTTCAACGCCTTAAGTGTTCGCTGGTGCACCGTACTAATAGTACACCCTAGCCGATTTCTATGACCTCTTTGCGGCTAGTATTGTAGAGGTCAGTTTTTTTTTATATAAGTGTGTTGTTTTTCCTATTATAAAAAAAAATAATAATAATAAAAAAAAATAATAATAATAATAATTAAAAAAAAAAAATGGAATTTCGGAACCGACGGACCAAAATCACTGAGCGCACATCCAGTACTGCCAAGCCGGCCGAGCTGATACCGATCCACCACCACCACCGGACACACAGTGATTTTTCACTGTGTTCAGTATGTTTTCTTTTACTTCTTTTAGTTTCCATTTTGTTTTTCTTTTTAATTATAAAAACTGTAATCCACCTGCAAATTGACAATGGGGACATTGTTGGTTGTAAGTGTGGGGGGGTTGTCTGCATGATTGAATTTTTGTCTATGTGTTTTTCTTTTATTTGGACCAGCTTAGGTTTAATTTTTCAATATGATTTGACAGATAATCATCGGGATTAGTTGATAACTGTTTAAATTGACTCGAGATGTTGAAATGGTGACTAAAAATTGCATGACCTTTGAACTACGTGGAACATTTTGTAATAACATTTCAGTGTGAGATTTGTGCCTTATTTTCTTGAGGGATATCGGTCAAATTCATATGTTATTAGAACTTGCCTTGAGACTATGTTGAAATGATGGAAATTGGGAATTATATGTTGTGAAAATGATTAGGGCAGTTTTGTATATCCTTTTTATTCGTTTTTCTTGTCCTGATAACAATTTCCCTAGTAGCCCAAGTTTGAGCCTTATTAATATTTTTCTTGT